AAATGTAACAAACTTTTGAAAAGCCAAGAACTATTTAGAAGAGTTCTTCACACTTGAAATGAAAAAGCCAGTATTTTAAAGGGTGAGTTATTGTACTACATTGGCTGAGGAGACGAACATAAGAGGTGAGAAACCAATAAAGACTGGTAGTTTATTTTTCTGGAAGCCTTGTACATGAAAAGTCAGCAAGAGTAATCATCACACTGTCAACTTCCAAAGGTACAGTTACTCACTGAATTAAAGATTTAACTGCAAACTGATCTTGCCTGACAAATTACACTTATGCCTTAGAAAGGACAAATCTACAGAACTGTTCAGACTTGTTATGTTGGTTACATTCATCTGCAGCTAATTATCCAGTCTTTTATATGAATACTTGACAACAAACACACCATGCACTGAAATGTTCAAAGTGTACAATAACTTTTCTGAATCTCATCATTTATCCTGGAACAAGTACAATGACGGTACAAAAGCAATGATCAGTAAAGCTGCTTGTGCCTCAGAGCAAATCAAGGCAGGGAGCAAAGTGAACCAATAATCACTGTATTCTTCACTACCACTCACTTGCAAAATTATTTTTCAAAACCATTTTTACTTTAACAAAGTCCTAGATGAAACTATGATTATTAATTTTATTAAATTTTGACTCTTAGACTGGGGTTGTAGCTAAGTAGTACTGTACTTGCTAAGTATGTGAAAGGCCCTGGGCTCCAGCATCACCAAAGGAAAACAAAAAAGAAAAAGAAACCAATAAATCTTGACCCTTGAAAGTACATCTTTTTACTATTCTATGTGTCAAAATGGAAAATGGCATAGAAGTTTGTACTGCATACTGAAGTATAATGATTATCTCCTAGAAAGTGCTTGTCTATTAGGTTGAACAACATGACTTATCCATTTGTTCTAATCAAACACTGAACTATGAGCTGAGCTAATCACTGTTTGCCATGACACACAAATTTTACTTGACTGACAGGATATTCAAACTTTGGTATTTGTCAATTATTTTTTGAATGAACAAAGTAAGCCTGTTATCTTAAGGAAAATAGCTAACACAAATATTTGTTGCCAATGATAAAATTCAAGTTTTCAAGTGAATATTATGAATAAAATGAATTTTGGGAAACTTCTATCAGATATCCTGAGCTTGACAGCTGCCCAATACTAAAGACTTTTTTGATGAGACCAGTGGTGATATTACTCACAAATGTGATTTTTTATATTATATAATGAAATATAATATAATTTGGAAATTTATATAAATCAATTAACTAATATTTTCTAAATGAACAATGCAACACATTATGAAATCACACAGGGAAAAATATCCATTCAAAGGGCAAGAGGGACAAGGGATTTAAATGGGTCAGTGTACAAAAAGCTTTTTGGTATGGTTTCAGATCCCACATTGTATCCATCTTTTAAATAACTATCACGTAGTAGCTATCTCCCACCCTTATCAGAAGTTTCATTTTCTGCAGTTACTAGCACTAAACCATGGTCTGGAAATATTACATGAAAAATTCCAGACATAAACAATTCATGAGTTTTAAATTGTGCACCATTCTGCGTAATGTGATGAAATCTTGATCTGCCCCTTTTGTCCCATTCTGGACATGAATCATGTCTGTGTCTAGAGTTTCCTTACTTTACCAACTATCCTCTCTTAGTCACTTAGTAGCCATGTGGGTTTTCACATCAATGGTATCACAATGCCTGTGTTCAAGTAACATTTACCTAACAGCCTATAACACAACGCCTCTGCCATTCGCTACTTCATCTCATCGTGCAGGCTGTGCACTGTCTCACCCCATCACAAAAAGAAGGGTGCGTACAGGTCAGTAAGATAATTTGAGAGACAGACAATATTCACATAACTTATATGACAGTATATTGTTGTGATTGTTCTATTTTATTGTTGTTTGTCTCTTCCTGTTCCTAATTATAAATTAAACTTTATTGTGGGTATGTATGTATAGGGGAAAAAAAACACAATGTAATAGGGTTCAGTACTATTTGCAGTTTCAGACATCCACTGGGGGTCTTTTAATATATCCCCCACAGATAAAGGAAGACTACAGTAGTTGGGATCTGAAATATTCCAAGGCTCATGTGCTGAAAGTTAGGTCCCCACTACAACAATGTTCATTGTATCATGAGGGCACTAACCTCAGCAATGGATTAGTCTGTTAAAGGATTCATAGCTGGATAGACTAATAGAAACTGTAGGAGGTAAGACCTTGTTGTAGGATGTGGGTTCTTGGGGGTAACCTCTTATCCCCAGCCCTTTTCCTTCCTTCTGTGCGTGCGCTGCACTCCCACCCCCTTTCTCTCTCTCTTTCCCAAGCAGGAGGTGTGCAGCAACTTTGCTCTGCCACACACTCCTGCCATAATGTTCTGACTCACCATAGCCCAAAAACAACAGTCAAGTGACTGTGGACTAAAACCCCTTAATTATGAGCCCAAACAAATCTTTTCTCATTTAAGTTGATTTTCTCAGGTATTTTGTTATAGTGATGGAAGGCCATCTAACAAATGTTACAGACCATCCAAATTATCTGAAAAGCTATTAAAAATTAATTTTTTATTTTAAAATTTTATTTTAAATTTATTAAAAATATTAATTTTTTTCTTTTTTCCAACTATCTATCTGAATAAGGCAACATTATTTTCATGTTTTTCACCAAAAACAGCACACTGCAACAAGTTCAATGCAGAAATAGACATGAGAATCCCTCTTCTGTAAAAACAGACATTAAGAGATTTGCAAAAATGTAAAATAATAGGTTTTTTCACTAAACATTTTCTTCTAGTTTAAGAAATATAGTTATTTAAATGGTAAGCAAAGATTTAAATAATTTTTAATGATAGAATGTAGAAAATGTTATATCGTCCAACTAAATAGTTTCAGATTGGACTATTAGTTGTTGAATACCTGGTTCTGGAAACTTCCTTTTTATCCCATCTCTATTTCCACTGTTCAAGACAGAAGAAAAGGTTAAATTGAACTCATTGCCTCATTAATATAGAAATAGGATATTGTATGTTTAAATCTTCGTATCTTCATTATACAGTTGCTTAATAAACATGTTTATTAGACTGATTTACACATTGATTTATGTTTTTCAAAACATTCATATTCATAATCTCTTATCCCTTTCACTTTAAACACAGATAACACATATTTATCAAAATAGGTGAAAGATAATCAGATAATTTTATTGCTTATATAAAAGCATGAATACTTTATGTGCCACATCTTTTTAAGAAGAATTTTAATTGTAGAATTTTTATTTTTTATATAGTAATCTTTATCTAGAAGGACTTTGAATTCAGAATTTAAAATTTAAAATTTTTGGTTTAGGGGTGTTTTGTTGTTGTTGTCTTTGACATTGGTCTACAAATTATTCTGAATTTCTATCAAAAGGACAGTAGGTCCGATATAAAAAGTCCAATTATAAAAATGTTTAAGAGAAGAGAAATCGAAATTGGCCTGGATCATGTGCAAAACAGATATTATCACTAATGAAACAATAAAAAGTATAGACCCACAATATAATATATACTTTGGCAAATTTATTGATATCACTACTGAAAGTCCACCATATACTGAATGCTATGTTAGATAACTTGTACACACACTATCTCTAGTGTTAAGTAATAACTGGGAGAATGGTCAAAGATTGAAGTAAAATACACAGTTATGAAATCTTACCAACCACAACCCCTGAGAAGCAGATAAAATAAAACAAATATGCATAGCTACAAATGGGAAAATGTTATGATACAAAGATGATTTAACACTGAAAGTAATGGATGAAGAAATCTGTACTCTAATATTAAACAAACTATGCAAAATTAATACACAGTTAATGACAATTATTCATTTGAACAAATGCGTCTCTTCCCATAAAATTGTTTTTGCTTAAATTTTCAGGATACTTTAGGCCAGCAATTGGCAACTACCACCTGCAGGCCAAATCCAGCCTGTTGGTCAATCTATTACCTAAGAATGGTTTTTGCATTTTTTAATGGTTGTATTTTAAGTGTTTATATAAGTGGTGAAGTGAGTCAAAATGGTTAAATAAGTGCCTACATAATATCCTCCATCTTGTCTCTTGGGTCACAAAACCTAAAACAAAAATCTTGTCTACTTGGCCCACAACAGAAAAAAATCTGCCAACCCTATTTCAAGCAAAAGTGCTCAAAGGCTCTATGGTGTCATTACTTTGAAGCCTACAAACCCAACTCTTAACAATTACCAATTGTATGACCTTGGGCAAGTCCCTTAACTTCTGAGCCTCATTTTACTTCTATAAATTGAGATGCTAGCTTCTAAATCAAATTGCTAAAATTACATGAAATAATGTGCAATGTATGTAATGTATTTGACATATCCTAGAAACTTAACATTAATTCCATAAATTATTATAACCACTGTGTATCTGTTGCTGTGGGAAACAGAAAGGATAGATCACAAACTAAAGCCTGGACAAAAACCTCTTGTTATAACTTATGTCTGCATAGCATTTCTCCCCCAGAGTACTTTTACATTGTGCAATCAAACTGATTAGGAAGGAGTCCTATGTATTTTTCATTCATAATTGTTAAATTTACAAATCAGACAACCATTATAATGAACAATTTTAAAGATGCACTAAGCTGGCAATGAAGTTTAGCCAACAGGTTCTCCCAATAACATCCTTCCACTTTTCTCTATTTCCAACAATCATATTCAAAATTTCATCACTTAATTTTTTTTCTGGATTTTACCAGCTTGTCCTTTTGCCTAGAAAGTAACTTTTTTCTGTCAGCCTACTCAACCTATACAGGATAAAAGTTCCACAAAACTCCAAACAAACAGGATCTGGGAGACCAAAAAGCAATTCTATGGTAAAGAGTGAAGGACAGAAACAAAGAAAGTCATCTTTCAGCATTATGTGTTCAAACCTCTCAGAATCCTTGATAAATCTCTCTCTCAACCCTTTTCTTTCCAGTGTGCCCAACAGGAATGACATGCTCCCATCAGAAAGTACTGTCCAGCCACTGTGATCTTCAAAATGCTCTTCGGCTCTTGAAAACACTTCTTCAGCGACTTTCATAGTTCTTTAAGGAGGACTTCCCCACATGTTGGAGAACCACTGCTCTAAATCTAAATGACCCAATCATTCTAGGGTCATTTACACCACTCAGACTACTGGAAGACAGAAGTCATTTGTACTAGGTCTTACATACATGAAACACGTGTAGAGTCAGATTTAAATTTACAAATTTACAAATGCCTATCCTATCTAAGGTTATAATTATGACAACCCTATCCCAGGGAAAAGTATGGAGAATGGTCATAAAAAGAGTTCTCAGGTTTGTGTGGACTGATGACATCTACACAGGTACCATGAGATGGGAGTCTTTAAATACAGGTATGGTGGGTAAAAGCAGAAAAGATCTGACAAATAACCTTCTATGAAAATAACAACAAGAAAGTGTAGATGCAAACAGATAAGCTAAGAGTAACCAGACTGCCAAAATGCCTGAATTTTCAGAGTCACTTCTACTTTCTTATTAAGAAATGCTATAGAGAGGTAGGAGGGGGGAGGGAAGTGCTGAGGAGCTATATCAGCTAAATTTTGTTGTATTTTGTGCACTATGGATATGTAACAACAACCCCCCCCCATTATGTATATAATGCACCAATAACAATGTGAGAAAAAAGATATACTATAGCAAAGAAGAGACTGGGTGATCTTAATCTGGGGAAGGCAGAAGTTGAGGGAAAATACGAACAAAAATTAAATTTTCAGGTTGGATATTTTGGATTCTCAAACACATTTGTCTGTATACTCATTTACCAAAAAGTTTTTGTTCAAAGAACAAAATTTTACTTCAAGAAAAGATAAAAAGGCAATATCTGGAAATATAATTATCATCAACTTAAATTCTATTGATAAAAAAAATTCACCTATTTATAGATTCATTGAATAATGAACACTCCTCCAGGTAGTAGAAGTATAATACTAAAGAGACAGGCAGTCTATGCCCTCATGGAATTTGCATTCTATGAGAAAGATAGGCAATAATCAAATAGCTGTATAATACAATATACAATACAGTGCCAGGTTGTAATAATGTGCTATGAAGAGAAATGGCAAGATGAAGGAAGTCAGTCAGAGGGACTATTTTAGATAGATCTTTAAAAGCCTCCCTTATCACCTTCCAGACCTATATAACAACAAAGCAGTTCAAGGCCTGGGAATCCTTGCCTCCTGTCCTTTTCAAACTCTGATGTTACTCACTCACACAGGCTCAACTCTGACCAGGGCAAAGACTCAAAATGCTGATCCCTAATTCTGGCCTCTTCTTTAAATTCTTATCCCACGTTGACCAAAGTATAATTGACAGGTCTAAAACCAAACTGGCCACACTCATTCTTTGCCCCTGTATCCCCCACCAAAATACTACCTTCACTTTTCCAGAAATCTCTAAAAGACTTATCAAAGATTCAACTCTTTTCTGCTCCTTCACACCACAATAGAAAAGTCCTAATAGTTCCTTTTCCAAAGTGGTCCCATTCACCTCTTGGAACGCATTTGAAAAAAATCACATTTAAGAGTAGCTGGAAGTTTGGGGAAACATTGCTCCTGCTCAACCACAATTAGACCCTATACTCCCATATTAAAACTAAACCCTTATCTGTTGATTTGCACTTCCTCTAAAATCCAGCCATATCAAATTTACCATACCAGTTATTGAATGAATCGTACCCTCCAAAATAAATGCATATGTTGAAGCTCTAATCCCCAATATCTCAGAATGTGACTATATTTAGAGACAGGACGTTTAAAGAGGTAATTAAGTTAAAATGAGGCTTAGACTGAGCCCTAATCTTTTGTTGTCAAAAGAAAAGGAAGAGCCATCAGGGATACGTGTGCAGAGAAAAGGCCACAGGAGGACACAGGGAAAAGATAGCCATGTATATGTCAATCAGAGGGGCAACTTAGGATCCTGACATGAAACCTGCTGGCACCTTGATATTGGATTTCCAGGCTTCAGAACTATGAGAAAATTCTTTTTTTGTTATTTAAGTTACCCAGTGGGAATGGGGGTACTGTGCCATGACAGCTCCCACAAACTAATACTCAACCTCACAGTCCTTCCAATTATTCCTTACATGTAGATCTTATGAATGATCTTCAAAAAACACAACATTAATTTTTGCCATAAACTTTTGTCCAAGCTAGAATTCTTGTCTATAATATTCTTTATTCCTTACTTAAACATAGTGCTATTTCTGTTTTGTGGTTTTGGTTTTTGATTTGTTGATTGGTTGGGGTTTGGTTTGGGATGGTTTGGGTAACTGGGAATTGAACCCGGGGTGCTTTTTACCACTGAGCACATCCCCAGTCCTTTTTATTTTTATTTTGAGACAGGATATCACTAAGTTTGTGAGACTGGCCTTGAATTTGTGATCCTGCTACATCAGCCTCCTGAGTTTCTGGGATTACAAGTGTACACCACCACTCTCAGCAAAAAAAGGTAGTGTTTTGAAGTCAAACTTGGGTTCATATGCTAGCTCCTTTTACTTAATAACCTCCTACCTTAATTAACTTCTCTAGGTTTCTGTTTTCTCATCTTTCAAATGGGCATTTTAACTGCATTAAATCATTATGTAGATTTAAAGAGATAGTGTACATGATATGACTAGCATAATCCCTGGCACACTGTATAGACCCAATGATGACAAATATTATCCATTTTTCTAAGCTATGCTTATTACTTGATTTTTTGAGCATTCTGGCATCTTTGGTCCACCAGCCGAATCTGAAGAAAACATTTGGGAAGGGGAGAATCATGGAGTTGAGTTTTGAGCACCATTCCATAGGGCCTTGACACTGCCTGAGAACTCTGGAGGGGTCATGCAAGGAGCCCTAAGGAGCTATTCAGCGTTTCTAAAAAGGGTAAAGACATGCTCAGAAGCAGTAGCTATGTGAATGCAGGTAACCAGGACAGAAACTACGCAACAGTCAAGGTAACAGGTCATAAACAGTTGAACTGGAGTCGGGCCCATGGGAATGGAGAGGGGGAAATATTTCGAGAAATATTTCAGGCAAGTAATCTACAGGGCTGGCACCACACTGTCCGACCAAGCGAGTGAGCAGAGTCAGAGGTAGCTCCATAACCTTGACATGACTAGAGGGACAGCAGCAGGGACAGAAATAAGGAAGCCAGATGAAGGAGAACAGGGGGCCTGAGTCTGATTTCAACCTTCATATTCGGTTCTCTGTTCTGCTCCCACCACTGCATCTTACTTTTTGTCTGCAATCTGATAGGGCAGTCTCTGTGTCCTTCTCCTCCAGAAAAATTTCAAGAAAGGATCTCAAAATCTTGTCACATCAAGGCATAAACAGAAACCTCTCCTAAAGGCTATTTGCATTTTAAAGAGAGGCTCCCCCAGAAAGGGAAGAACCATAAAATTTGAGAAGTGACAAACCTAAATCAGATGTGGTGTGAAGAGAGGATGTCCTTTAACATTATTATCCCTACACATTTCACCTCCTGCCTGTTACAAACCCTGGCTGCGATCTTTCACCATGCCCTAGATTTTAAATGAGTGTTGTTGTGTTTAAGAATCCCTTTCTTATCTTCATTCTGGATGCTGTACAACACCACATGCAAACAAACAAAACTGTTTTCACTGACTATTTAAAAGAAATAAGACATAAGCACAGAACAGCAGGGCTGGGAAGGTCCCCACACTAGCCTCTGCCATCTTTCAGATGACACTGGAGATTCCAAGGTTAAATTCAGAAACCTGGCCCAATCACTTTCAGTTTCCACCAATTCTTGTCTTCTACCTTAAATTAAACCTACCTCCTTTGCCCTTATCAGAGATACAAAATAGGAAGTTCTTATATCCTTCATAGTAGCTTTTCACAGCTATTGTGATTAGAAAATAAAACCTTCTTTCACTTTTGTTTCACATTATGGATTATTTGTTCAACCAAAATTCATGGATTTTGCAGTGCTACACTGCAAAGATAAGGGAATGAAGTGGAGTAAAGGAGCAGGGCCCCAGTCAGAATTCTCATAATCTGTATCAGAATTTTTTGGTTCATCTTCACTCACAAGTCCTAATCCCCATATCTGCGGGTCACCTTTGTAGTTCTGCCCCTTTTGAACCTCTGACAAGCCTTCTGGGTTTCTTTAAATGTGGAATTTCATGGAAAGAGGCCCAAATTTTACAAGAGGATCTGACCCATATGGAATCCAAATGCATTAACTCATGATTCTCAAAGGGATTATCTCCAACTATGCACTCATTTCAAAATGTATACTTTAAAGTATGCAGCCAGGCAAGGGTGTGTGTGTAGGGAAGGTTGTTTTGTTTCAATAGTTGTCTTGCTGAATCACTCAGCAAATTATTTACTCTGAACTTTGCATTATTTTCTATCATATTCATGGTGTGCACACTTAGACTCTGCCAAACACTGTACAAACTGAGTTAAAAAAAAAAATTGTGAAACCACTGTGGAAAATGATATGGCAGTTCCTCAGAAAATTAAACATGGAATTATCATTATCCAGCAATTTGACTTCTGGTCACATATCCAAAAGTACTGAAAGCAAAAACTCAGGTAGATACTTATATGTACATATTCATAACAACATAATTCACAATAGACAAAAGGTAGAGGCAATCCAGTGTCCACTGATAAATGGGTAGACAAACAAAATGTGGCATTTGTACACACACACACACACACACACACACACACACAAACACAGAGAAATACTATCCAGTTTTAAAAAGGAAGGAAATTGTGACATACCATTACAACGTCAAAGAACCATGAAAACATTATGTTATGTGAAATAAACTGGTCACAAAAGAACTTATGATTTAACTTATGTGAGGTATCTACAGCCATGAGTTCACAGAGACAAAAAGCAGAATGGTGGTTGCCAGAGCTGAAAGGGGAAAGGGAATGGGGAGTTATTGTTAAATCAATATGAAGTTTCGATTTGGGAACATGAAAGTTTCTGAAGATGAATGCTGATGATGGTTATAAGGTAATGTGAAAGTACTTAATGTTGCTGAACTATACACTTAAAAATAGTTCAGATGGTAACATTTATGTTGTTTACCACAATTTAAAAAATATATTTAAAGTGGCTGGGGATGTGGTTCAAGCAGTAGCATGCTCGCCTGGCATGCGTGTGGCCCGGATTCGATCCT